TCTGTTGATCACAACACCTCAACTAACAGACTTGGTGACTCGGTGGGGATCTCTGGAACTGGTCTAGACTGGTTTAGATCGTCCCTTTCTAACAGAAGTTACGGTGTCTGTAGAAACCAAATCATGTCAGATTCTACCCATCTGTTCTGTGGGGTACCCCAAGGCTCTGTTTTGGGTCCACTGTTGTTTCTGCTGTACATACACCCTCTTGGACAGATACTTGATTCTTTTCCAAATGTCTCTTATCACCTATATGCAGATGATATTCAGCTGTACTGCTCCTTTAAGGATTCTGAGCTCTACAAACTGTCTGAATTACTAGAGTGTCTATCAGCGATCACCAGCTGGCTAGAAGATAACTTCCTTCAGTTCAAGGAATTCCAAGCAGATTTGCTTGCTTTTAGCACCTCCAGTGTCCGTTTGTAGAAGCAAAACTATATCTTCTCTGTGTGCTCGTCTTTTTAACATCAGTCTAACAGCTGAAATGTCTCCCAGTGTTCCTAGGTGTCTACAAGAGTGATTCATCACTAAATTAAACAAATCAGCTGTGTTCATAATCTGAAGCCAGAGAGCAGCACCAGATACCTCAGCTCGATTTTATTAAGTCCCAGCTGGCCAGACTGACATGTGCAATATTCTGGCCACGGGTCATTTTAGCACATACTGGCTAAAGAAAATTATTTAAAAATATGAAAAAATTGTAAACTGTCCCTTTAAACTCTGAAAAGACTGAATGTCTGATCATTGCCCCTGAGAGCATGGTTCCCCTGATTAGTCTAAAACTTGGTCATTTATCTTGAGGAATTTGAGTGTTTTTCACCAATCAACGTCTCTTGAAGGCCAATCAAAAACATTGATCCGAAACTGGTTTTATAACTACGAAGGTTGGTGTCAAAACATGAACCTGAGATGGTTCCCCATGCCTTTATCTCCTCCCGTCTAGATTACTGTAACACACTCTTCACATGTTCTAACACAAAAGCCCTTGACCGCCTTCAGTTGGTCCAGAACTCTGCAGCGAGGCTCCTAACTGGAGCAAACAGAAGAGCTCACATCACTCCTGTTCTGACGTCTCTGCACTGGTTACCCGTTAACTTAAGAGTTCATTTAGAGTCCTGACTAGAACTTTCAGGGCTCTGCATGGTCAAGCTCCTCCCTACATTACTGACCTGTTAAAGTTAGAATATGGAACCTTGTTGTATTCAGAATAACCGTACAGCATCCCTTGTCTGCAGCTAAAACTGTACTGTTCTGGTCTTTGCTGAGGGAGGAGATGGCTTTTCTTTCTTGTGGGGACAGACCAGCAGGTGGAGTCTTTGCATTTGAAGAGCAGCTGTAACCTTGATCCTCAGTTCTTCAGCTTCCGTTTTCCATAGGCTGTTGTTTCTATGGCAGTGATGAACTTAGAGGAATCTTCTCCAAACACAACATCCTGGTAAACTTTAAACCCAACAACACCCTCAGACAGAGACGGGTCCATCCTAAAGACAAAACACCCAAATTGGAGCTTAGTGGCACCATTATAACCACAGACATCTACAGTTTATAAGCTTGCCTCTCCCATATTCCAGTTAGAACAGGCAAAGCTCCTCAGATGAGAAGCGAAACATCTTCAAGAAACCAAAGAAGCCCAGATGCCTTCATTTGAACCCTTTGGATTACCTGGATGACTGAGAACCTTCACCGGCGTTTCTTCCTGGTTTGCCTTTCACCCAGAGTGAGATTCTGGTCCAACTCAAGGCTGTCTCACGTCTCTCACAAACTAAACATCTGGGTTTGGAAGCCTGGGGGTATTTTGGGAGGAAATGTGTGGTGCAGGTTTTTGAAGATATTCATGGAAGAAACTTGAGAAGCTTTGAAAACGTTTTCAGATATTTTAGCAACTCTCCAGTTGGTGTTCTTGCAGCTTCCACAAACCAGGGACATGGAGGCCGATGCTACACGGCCCGGCCAAAAGACCGTCGCCACCAAAGAAAAGGCCACACACTAATGGAATAAAGTTTGATTGATTGATTGATTGATTGAATGATTGATTGATTGATTGATTGATTGATTGATTGATTGATTGATTGAATGAATGATTGATTGATTGATTGATTGATTGATTAATTGATTGATTGATTGATTGAAAAGGCACACACTAATCTTTCATTGCAGCACCTTTAGCTTGGACTTTGAAAGGCATTTGCATCGATGTTGTTGCAGTAAGCATCTACTGTGTGACCAGATGTTTCCAGTGTTGCACTAATGTTTCACCAAGATCTTGCATTGATGATAGTGAAGACTGGCCGCTGCACAAGGCCTTCTCCAGCACATCCCAAAGACTCATCCCAGCAGCTCGGCGTAAAGAACTTGCTGCAGCTGAACGATAATCGCCTTTGCAGTAATGATGCAATCGGAGACTCCTGCCTGTTTGTTAGTTGAATCCAGGCGACTTTTTCTGGCCAGGCCTTTTTAGCTTTGACCATTTGATTAGTGATTTACTGATCAAAGTCATAAATATCACACTAAATTAATACGAGTGGGAGAGAGTCTAAGGGAGATTAAAAATCACTGAAATGATTTTTGCTCATAAACATTCTCATCTGTTGTCTTTTTGTTCTTCAGGGACCTCAACGAGAACAACCTGACAGTCATCACGAAGTCGGACTTCTCTGGTCTCAAACACCTGCGGGTTCTGTGAGTTGTGACCGCACTTCCATTGTTGTGTTTGTGAAGAACCAGAAAGTGTCTCGAAGAATGAGACGAAACACGCTTATGCTTTTCTCTCAAGTACTCATGCTACCTGCTGACACCAGCTTCCTGTATTTACTGACATGTCGTCTCAGATTTCCTCACCGGTTCCGCTCGGCTAGGAACGTGGGACACTCAAAAGCGAGTAGAGAATAATGCTCCAGCTCACTAGTGACACATGAGCCACCCGGAGGTGCTGGCTTGGTGTCAGTGTCAGCCAGAAGAGGGACTTGTCCGTGACCTTTTGACCTGAGAAGCCTCTCGGGAGAGGAAGGATGAGTGACGACTTCCTGTGTTAACCCACCGATGGACACAACAGGAAGGCATGCTGGGAAATAGACACCGGTGACAGTCTGTTCAAAATGGATGAACAGCTTTTTGGATCCAGCAGCTTGTTGCTGTCAGGACAGTATTCACTGCTACACCAGCTGTAAAGAGGCTGAAGAAACGGCTCCTAAATGGAGTCAAACAACAGAAGGATCAGTCACATTTGTTTCATGGCTCCATTCAGACCAGCTTTTGGACAAACTGGGAAAATGGGTCCAGTTCTATTTGTTTCGTGCTTGCCTTTCAAGGCTCACAGCTTTTAGAGAAAAAAGAAACAAAGACAAATCAGCAAATACAATAAGTCTCTTAAATAAATGACCACTACATGATGGGGCAGCAGTAGCTCAGGAGTTAGAGCGAGCTGTCCACTAATCACAGGGTTGCTGGATCAATCCCGGCAGTGGGTGCTGCTGTTGTGTCCTTGGGCAAGACACTTAACTCACCTTGCCTGCTGGTGGCGGTTGGAGGGCCCGGTGGTTCCTGTGTACGGCAGCCTCGCCTCTGTCAGCGCGCCCCAGGGCAGCTGTGGCTATATGGTAGCTCATCACCACCAGTGTATGTGTAAGGGGTTAATTTACATCTGTTTAAGGAACCATAAGACATGAGATTCCATATTAAATATGAAATCAATCTTATGGATCTTTGGGTACCTTTAACCAGAAGATTGGAACTTTTTATTGCAGGGATTATGTAACACTTCGTATTAACTCAGAGAAGAGAGAAGAGAGGTGGGTGGGTGGGGGGGTTCCTACAAGGATAAAAATGTCCGGTTTGCGCCCGCTGCGTCCGGCGCACGATACATTCTCAAGGTGGCGCAACAAAACCTTATTATCAACACATGATCGTTCATATCTGTTTATGTCCTCTGGTACTCTGTCTCTTAATCGTTCCTGATTGCTTCCCACACCAAACCTTCTGTCAGGAATCTTGGCGTGACCTTTGACCCAGCTCTCACCCTGGATTCTCATGTCAGTTCTCTTGTTGACTCTTCCTTCTTCCATCTCAGGAACGTTGCTAAGCTGAGTCCCATTCTGTCCCGCTCTGAACTTGAGACAGTTCTCCACACCTTCATCTCCTCACGCTTAGACTACTGTAACTCTCTTTTCACGTGTCTGAGCAGAACCTCCCTGAACCGTCTACAGGTGGTTCAGAACGCCTGTGCTCGGCTTCTGACCAAGTCCTCCAAACACACCCACATCACCCCGCTTCTCCTCCAGCTTCACTGGCTGCCAGTCAACTTCAGGGTTCATTTCAAGATCCTGGTTCTGGTCTATAGGGCCTTACATGGACAAGCACCATCTTACATTGGTGATCTTCTTAGTCCCTACACCCCCAGCAGGTCCCTGAGGTCCAGTGACCAAAGCCTACTGGTTGTGCAGCCTACAAAGTCTGTTCGTCATAAACACAGCACCAAACACATGTTAATGCTCACAAGTCCACATGCGGGGCTTGGAGTGCGATCTCCTTCACAGCCTTCTTCATCTGATTGGCCATCTATGACGAACGTGTGTAAAGGATAGCTGTGTGGGGGTTGAACGTCACGCTGGTGGTGATGAGCAACGACTGCCAAAGACTGAGCGAGGTGCAAAGGGGCAGGCACCTTCTCCTCTGCCGCTGTTCACCGTTATACCATCATTGTCTAGTAGAGAGTTTCCTGTTATACTTTTTAATAAATAATTTTTATAAATGTGTTTTTTTCCTTCCTGCAGTCACCTGATGGAAAACCAGATCAACAACATAGAGAGAGGAGCTTTGGATGAGCTGAAGGAGCTGGAGAGACTGTGAGAAAACGTTACGTTGCAGGAATCCACAACGAGCAGATCCGATAAGCCGACTGACGTACACTTTGCTTTGTTTTGTTCCTTTAGTCGCCTTAACAGAAATGGTCTCAGCCATCTTCCAGAGCTGCTCTTCCAGAAGAACGGGGCCCTGTCCAGGCT